TATAATGTGAATTTTGGAAACTTTAACTGTGCTGTCGACTTTGGAAAAAGTTATCCCAATTTACTGTGTTGAGTTGGTATTGTACAGAAATTAACAGCCATATTGGTCTAGAAATGTTATTTTTTTTCCATTTCTACAGAGGTAATGCACTGTATTAAATATGTAAGGTCATATCTACATGGGTTTGATTACAGAAACTAATAAAGTATTCTATAAATAATGAAAAAAAAGAATAATATAAGACTACAAGAGCAAGAAGCAATTTAAGTATGTTCAGGGACCATTTTCATCTTCAGAATTAAGGATTATTTTAATTTTACACCATTGCCCTTTCTCTTTTACTTTCCTTTTTAGTTTTATTTTAGGATTCCCTATTTTTAATGTTCATATAGAGATTTCTTTAACTGAAATACCGAATAGTTTCTCTGGTGTGAAAAACTATAATAGTACACAGGATCCTAATGAGATAATAATGTGAACTAGGAAGTAAAGGGCTAAAGGTGTAGGGAAAGTGAGAAGGTTGGGGAAAGGTAATAAGGGAGAGGAAAAAATATGAGAAAATGAAAAAATGGAAATAAAGTGTTTGTAGATGGGGAGAGGAGGAGGGGGTGAAGGGAGGGCAGGGACAAGGGGAAAAAAATGAGAATCAAGACCTGTCATGTAAAGGTACAGGATCCCCATAATGAATGTAATTGTATTTTATACTTAGATTGTACCAATGAACTCAAAAATTTTTTTTAAATTAAAAAAAACTTATAGGTGAATAAAATTGGATCTGAATGCATAAGTTTTCCAGTTCTTGCATTATAATCATCAAATATGTGTGAACCCTAGTGTCACACAGGAAGTTCAGCATAATATTGAATTTGCTGGTACAGCATGTCTGAATCTGCGGATTTCTCATCAAATGCTAAAGCTCCCCCAGGTTAGTATTACAAGTAATATGCAATATGCAAAGAATTGTCACATAAGCTGGTATTCATATCTCCCTCTCCCTCTCCCTCCCTCTCCCTCTCTGAAGAAGAGTGTTGAAAGCATTGGTTAACTTCTGCATTTTTGTGGCCAGATCAAAGCTATTAATTGAAGGATTTGGTGCCCCCCTCCCCTTATTTTGTTAGGTAATGGAGGAGGAGCTGTATCTCACAAACTACAAACCTAAAATGCCTAAATTGTGAACTCTGAACAGAATGCAGCAAGATTTCAAAGAGGAGATACCATCTTACCAGCACCTTCTTTACTCCTTACCAGTAACATCAAACTGGGCGCCTTTAGTATTTGATGAGGAATCAAAAGACCTGTATCTTCTACTTAACTTCTTTGTGTGACTCTGGACTTCATCCTTATAAGATGTAGCAATTGGAAAACCTATAAATGTTGAACAAATTATTCACCTCTATATTTCTCTTAGCAAAACACATCACAGTACTCACTCTTTGGTTGAAACTGCTGAGTTCCACACATTATATTTTCACAGTGAGTTAAGAGGGCTGTTTAGCACATTTCTTTAAAGTGCTCCTTAAAATGCTAGTTGTCTTCTGAGGAGGTAAATGCATACTTATTTCCTGAGGCAGCTAAGCCAAACACTAAGAAAGGATACAGTCAGAATACTGCAACGCATCCTGTCATGTATCCCTTTGGACCAGGGATTTTTTTTCAGAAACATTGGAACTGCATTTCTCATTAAGGTCTTGTGCTGACTCACTTTTAAAACCATCAAAATAGATGTTAGGAGAAAACATAGAACTATAAACCAGGAAAGTAATTTAGAATAGTAAAACTATGATTTATGCTCAGTAGCCATAAATGCAGGGTAAATATTTATCCAGAGTCCTCTGTGGTGTTATACATTGCAGACAGCATTTCAGTGGGTTTCAAACACTAATGTCACATTTATTGACATCTTTCACTCAGAACACTAATAATTAAAGCAGAAAAAAACTCTACTTAAAGAAAAAACAAGAATGATCATCCTATTTGCTTCTCTCTGTTTTTTATAGATATGACTGAAACTCTTTGTTAGGTTACAACTGTGACTCCACACTAGGAAGGCTAATTAACTATAGCTAAATGTTTTTTCCTTTATCTTTCTCTTAAAATTACTCTTAGTTTTAATATGTGATACATACCTAATGGTTAAAATGTTCAAAAGCACAAAAGGGAATAGAAATTGCTAGTTTCAGGAAGGCAGCTTGGAGTTTCCGTGAATCCTCTCTCTTTTACTAAATCATCACCAAACAAGACAAACAGAAAGGTAATCTATTTAGACACAGATGGAGGTAATTAAAATGCTGAGAGTGAGGAGAAAGGACATCAAAGGTACTAGACAAGAGCCACATGTGAGTCACCACCCCTTCTTGATCTCCAAGTCGTGGTGTGGCTCTCTGTTCTTGCTCTTGTGCTGCCTCAGGAGATAATCTATGTGATTATAAGCACAAATTAGTACTTTTTCTGTAATCACACAAATTGTACCCCTTTACGTGCAATTCTGTCCTTAGATGATTTTAAAGGTTTCCTTTCTATATTAGTTCAAAGAGTTTTGCAAGTTTTCTTTAATAGCTACGTGGTATTTAATTGTATAGCTACCCATACCTTTTTCACCGAGTCCTGATCGATAGACCTGTAGGTTGTTTATAACAATTTGGTGCTGCAAGTAATGCTCCAAAGAATGAAGTTGTATATCCATCATTCCACACTTGCATAATGATAAAATAAATGCCTATAAGGGGAATTGCGATCTTAACGTGTATAATTTTGATATAAAATTTAATTTTAATATATCATTTTATGTTGCATAAACATTGCTTCAATTAATACTTTAACTGATGATGAAAGAAAAAGACTCTCCAAAATATCAATTAAGCATTTTTCAAACTTTATGATCTCTCCTAATCTGTTAAAGCTAATATCAAAATTTAATTGTGGCTTTCTTATTATAAGTGAAGATAGCACTTTTAATGTTTTATTCATTTTTTTCCTATTGAACAATCTATTACAAATGATTTGTAGAAACTCTGTGTTAAACTAATTAATCACCTGTGATATGAACCTCAGATATTTTTATGAGTTTGCTTTAGGTTTTGAACTGTTTTTTGTGAAATAGAACACACATATCAGGCATATACAATATAAAAATATACTACTTAATCAAATGAACAAATGCATAATTATAACCTAGATCAAGAGACGAGCCTTCTTTCTATTTGCACTCAAAACGTTTCTCCCCACAAAGGTAACCATTGCTTTGACTTTTCATTGTTCTTTTTCCTCTAGGCAAGCATCCTGAAACACTAGAATTAAATGGTTTTTGGTTTTTTTTTGGTCTTTTCTTTTTTCCATTTTCCTGTTTTGGTACCGGGAATCGAACCCAGGACCTTGCGCTGCCGGGCAGGCACTGCGCTGCTGAGCGACATCCCAGTCCCTAAATGGTTTGTTTTTGAAGTGTATGCAAATGGCATCATCTAGTCTTTTTCTTTTGAGTTTAGAATCTTTTCATTCAGTATTCGGTTTTTATTCAGCATTCAGTCACCCTGTTTTTGGGTGTAACCATAATTTGCTCATTTTGGGCATCCTGTGATCGATATTTTATTATATACCACCACACCAACATTTTATCATGTACTTTCAATTCTATTGTTGACAGGCATCATAAGTTGTTTTGCACTTTATCAATCTTTATTTTGTTTTATTTTAAGGTTAAGATCTGAATTTATATCATTTTTTATATATAAAATTTGTCCACAAAAATCAATTAAACTTATATATTATATTTATTGAATAAACCTCCCTTTCCCTAACCCAAAACTATAATATCTTTATAATATTGTTAGTTGTTATTTGCATATGCATCTTTATGGCCATCTATTATTTTTCTGTGATTCATGGATCACACCATTTAAATAATTTAAATAAAATTCTATATTATATTTGTATGGCATAGTCTCTCATTCCTTATTGTTTCCTTCTTAGTATTCAAGGGTATGTTTGCTTATTTTTCTTTTTTGCTCATTGTGTTTATTGGTACATTTTAGATCATGCATACTTTTGTTAAGTTTATTGTATTTGTGACTCTACATAATGTCTATTACATCATATCTTTTGATTATTTGAATGCATAAAGGCTATTGATTTTTTCCCTTACTTTGGTGTGGCATACCGTTTGAATTTTAAAGTGTTTTTTTCTCTCATTGAGTATATTGGTACATTTTAGGTATACAGTACAGTTGCATTCACCATTGGGATCTTGTACCTTTACATGAGAGGTCTTATTTCTCAATTTTTGCTCTTGTCCCTGCCCTCCCTTCACCCTTCCCTCCCCATTTACAAACACTTTTTTTTCCATTTTTATCTTTTCCCTTACTGCCTTTCCCCTACCCTTCTCACTTTCCCTACACCTTTAGCCCTTTTCTTCCTATTTCAGATTATCAATTATCTCATTAGGATCTTATGTACTATTATAATTTTTTACCAGAGAAACTATTCGGTATTTACACACGTGTGACTTATTTATTTCATTTAGGAGTATATCCTCAATATGTATCCATTTTCCTATGAATGACTCTGATTTCTCATTCTTTATGGCTGAGTAGTATTCCATTTTATAGAAAAACCACATCTTCTTTATCAAGTCTCCAACTGATGGGCAAATGAGGTGTTTCCAAGTTTTAACTATTACAAACTGTGCTGCTATAAACATAGGTACACTTAAAGTATTTTTGAGAGTTTTGAACTAGAGTCCAATTTTCCATATAAACATTTGCACATAACTATTTCATTTCTTGTTTTTTCTCTATATTTTTCTTAGGTTTTGTTGGAATTTCTGGAGCAATATTATGATAGCATGATAGCAACATTATTATCTTATCCATATATATATATTTTAGTCCTGGGGATCGAACTTGTGTCCTTATGCAAGGCAGGTGGTGGAACCACTGAGCTAAATCCCTGGCCCCTCATTCCTGATATTAATTAGAATGGATTCTAGTGTTTCTTCAATAAATTTGGGATGTGATTATTTATGTTGAAGAGTATTATTTTATTCCTACTTTATTGTGTTTCTCTTTTAAAAACAAGAGTAGATTAAATTTATACAAATCAAAACTTACATGGCATGATGAATATTCACTTTGGGTCTTTTATATGATAAATTATATTAATGAATTTTTTATTATTGACACTTTCTTGAATTTCTGAATTCCATGTTGTAATTCTGTGTCACTTTCCAAACACACTATTACATTTTGTTGGAATTTTTCAAAAATTATTTCTCTTGGGCCCGGGATTTAGCTCAATGGTGCTGCACCTGCCTTGCATACAAAAGGTCCTAAAATCGAACACCACTACTGGGGAAAAAAAAAAATCGCTGGAGAGCACTGATTTGGAGCTTTATTTTTTATATTAACTTTAAGCATTTTGTTAGCAATGTTACAGTATTTCCAAAGAAAGAATTTTCAAGTTTGTAAATCTTATCTTGTGCTTTAGACAATTTAAGATACTAATGATTTTAATTTGTTCTTCAAAATTTAATCAACATTCCCTGGGAAATCATCTATGATATTTTTGCTTTTGAGGAAGTCAGTTCTTTGAAATATCCTCCAAACTGCCACTTTCCGATCCCTACAATTTCCTCCCCATATTTTGCTTAGATTCTCTGAGTTTATAGGAATTTTTAGCGGTGACCACAGCAAATCATTTAACAATACAGAAATTATATGTTTAGAAGAATTGTTGACAGCTCTTTGAGCACTTTACATTTCCTTGTTTGAGCTTTTGTGGAGTTAAATATACAAAAAAAAATTTAAAATATGTTCCACAGTGCTTCTAAAGCAAGTGTAGGAGAGCGTCATGACTATAAATGTGCTGTTGATTTCCAACAATGGAAATGGGCAGGAAGACTTTAGTGACAGGAAAAGACAGGGAAGCTTTTCAAAGATTGTAAAAAACCTTGAAGATCCTTTGTAGTTCACAAAAATAGAATCTCATCAGTGAGAAAGTTACTTGGCAGAAAGCAATCTCCTCACCATTTATTGTTCTACAACTTAGCCTCTCACCCTTGAGGATCACAAATTTCTGGATCTTCTTACAATGCTGTATGTCATTGTAAATATAACACACTGACCCTTTGTAGCCAAGGGTATCTCTCTTATCATCTTGGATTATGGGCTCATACTCATAGTGCTGATCTTGTGTGCTGCTCAAAAATGCCTGCAGCTGAAAGTTAATCAGACAGTAGGGAGTGAAAGGCAAAAAGCAGAGAAAATAAATCATTTAAAAACACCTACTATGTATATGGCAGGATAAATCTTTGTACGTGTTCTGCAGTTTAATTTTTACCACTTCAATTGCACAGAGAACTAAAACATTTAGTA